CGCTCTGATACTAATAGAGCAAAGGAACTTAAAGACGATTTCAGTTTAAATAAATCAATACTGGCGTTCGATATCGTGGTGAAATCGCCCGCTGGAGAATATCAGGCAACTGGTATTAGTTGTATGTCTCAGGAAATACTGGAGTGTGAGTATATACGATAAAGAGGTGTCACTTTTCAATTAGTACACATGTAACAATTCCATTTAGCACCGGCATCATCCAAAAAGAATATAAATACAGTTGAACATACTGACGTTGTTTACAATGATACGATTTATGCCTCTGAAGAAGGCAACAGCAGCAGCTCCTACTAGTAAGTCTGTTCCGACACTATAGTGCTGTGACGAGATTATTATCAAGAAGCCATGAGTAACTAACTGTAGTTGAGGGAGTTATTTTGTCTGTCATTGATTCGTTTTCGAAAGAAATGTCAGGGGCAAAGTTCAGACATTATTATCCATCGACAAATATGTCATGGATAGTTAAAATGGAATTTTATCCAAATGACAGCTTCGTGTAGCATTTTCCTTGATAGTTATGCGTAGAGAAAGATTGTTCTTATAATATGATTTGATTTCAGACTATTGGAAAACCTACAAACTTTTAGTGAAATTTTAATGTTTTAGGCATAAAATGTCCGCAGTGCGATACGTGTTTTCCATTGTCGAGTAATAAAAAACGACCCAATTCATTGTCATCGTGGTATTCAACTTTACCTTGCACATGGGTTAGTATACATAAGCAGATTTCATACACTAAAGAACACATGTGATCTAAAACATATCGTTTTCCATAGGTTGATTCAAACAAACGATTGAAAACGTAATAAGAGAATATTTATGAAATACTTTCTTGTTGAAAGGCCTCCTCCGCTATGTATTCATAACACACAAGTATATAAAGACATTTATATTCATTTCATTTGTCTTGTTCATTTAACCTAGAAGTTTGACATCTCTGTTTAATTTGCTTATCTATTTATTCGTTGAGATGCAAGGAAAAGAAATACACAGCATCAAGGCGACTGGTACATTTAATATATCGAATGATAGCTAAGTAGACTTCTGCCAGTTGAGAATCGGATAGGGTAGCCATACATGGATAGCGTAATAAAATATGATCAATAGTAATCTTGTTGTTATTTTGTTCACTATGAATGAGAATGCCATTCTCATTGGGAAATGACTTATGAATATTAGTTACACATTTGGTGAATGTTTCATCTTTACACATAGAAGGGTTGCAGAGATATTTATTTTTATAGTTGGCGCGAAGTGAGTAGTGTTTACTTCCATCGACCACGCTCCTTCATCAAAGCAATTGTTCCAAACAATAAGATCATGTCTATTGTGATTGATAATGGTCTGTAACTTTTTTAAGCATATTTATCGACTAGGGTACCTTTTTTTAGTGAGTTTTGGGTATCTGTGTTCCTCGTTCGTCGCTTGGTTACGACCCAAAAACCACGTCGAATGACAACTGTACAGTATTGAACGCTCAACTATAGAGATTGCACATGCCATTGTTACATTTCCTTTTCTTTTGATCTTCTACATTTTTTTCTGTTTTGATATATTTCTCCTAAATACAGACAAGAATAAATTTAGTCAATAGCCTATCTGTGTAAGGAAATTTAATTAGAGAGGCAGTTCTGTTATTTATTCATTGAGTTGGTTATTCAACAAGAAGGTGTAACCGAATGAAAAGAGATGTGTACAAATATAAATAATTATCAAACGTTCTATCCAGCCGATATCAACCTCAAACGTACTAAAATAAGTCAAAGACAGTGATCTAAGATAGCAATTTACAAGTGTTATGATCTGCCATTCCTGGCAACTCATAAGACTATATTCTCTTCTTCTTTTCCTTTCTTTCTGTTCGTTTTGCAGTTGTTTTCCAAATTTCTTTCTGTTCTTGCGCAATACTTGTGTTGCTCTGGTTTTCCCAACTCTTTCTGTTCTTGCGCAATTCCTGCGTAACTCTTGCATAACTGTTGTTCAACTTGTGTACTATATATAGCCGTTCACTTTCTTAAATAAACATGAGAAGTGAGTGAGTAGAACCTCACAACAAGTGCAGGGTATTCCCTTGAAGGGGCATGTGATTTCAAGAATCTTCATTAAGAGCAACCATGTTCGTATTTTGAGGATCCATATCTTGTAGCAGTAGTAATATAAAAATTTTTAATTATGGTTTTTCTGATAACAGAGTTCATTTACGTCCGAGATTAGCTCGGAAACTCATCTCAGTTTTCGGGAGCTTGTGGGAAACCCATTTTGGTTTTCGGATGCTCGAAAACCGTTTTCTTTCGGTTTCCGAGAATACGACTTTTTTTTAGAGAGTGGATAATGATATATTTTAGTTCGGACAAAGCTTTTACGTATTTATTCTTAAAGGAGAAAGCGTGCATATCTTCTCTTTTCAATAACAAACCAAAAGAAGGATGAGAAGTTTTACTCATAAAAAATGTACATATTTGATTTCATATCGTATAATTTCATTGTTTTACATGTGATATGTTTTATTTGTTCATTACCGTCGTATGAGATAAAGTTACTTTGACCAATAAATTGAAATTGATTGTGTATCGCGAGAGTTTGGGCCTACATAAATGATAAATTCACCCGTTTCCCATATATGCTGGAGTGCGGTGTTGTAGAATTTTAAATCATCAACAGTAACGTTAAACGACACTTGTTTCAGTTCTTTTGGTTTTAATAATATTTTTTGAAAGTTTTTTAATTCTTTTACAGCACGTGTTACACTTGCAATTGGATCATGAATGTATAGTTGAACAGTTTCTTCACCGCTATATAATCCACTATTTAGAACTGATAAATGAACAATCAGTATTTCATTATTACCGATAAGATTTCTTTTATTAACTTTCAACGGACCATATTCGAATGTTGTATAACTTAAACCATAGCCAAATGGATATAACGGATCATCATTTGGTAAATCTAAATATCGTGATTGGCTTATTCCTAAACCTGTGCCATTATAAGGTCTACCCGTATTTTTATGGTTATAGTAGACAGGTATTTGACCGACACTTCTTGGAAATGAAGCTGTCAATTTGCCTGATGGATTATAATCACCAAATAATACTTCGGCTATGGCATTCCCGGCTTCCGTTCCGGCAAACCATGTTTCTAAAATGGCATCTACATGTTTACTTTCCCATGTCAATGTTAGCGGTCTTCCATTCATTAACACTAATACGACGGGTTTGCCTGTTTCAACGAGCGCTTTTAACAAATTCTGTTGATTTTCTGGTAATCCAATATAGGATAGACTAGCTGCTTCACCTGACATAGCTTCAGATTCACCTAACACAGCCACAATAACATCGGCTGTCTTTGCTTTCATCACTGCTTGTTTAATGAGCATTTCAGGTGAACGTTTATCTAATTCAATATTTCCACCTTTTCCATTCAGTATTTTAAGAAGATCAATATCATCGATAATATTCGCTCCTTTTTCATGAACGATGTTCACTTGACCGCCAACTAAGTTTCTAATACCCGTAATTACACTCACAGACTCTGTTTTGTTACCAGCAGCTGACCAACAGCCCAACACGTTAAACTGATCATCCACCAAAGGTCCAATGAGAGCAATTGTACCCTGACGCTTTAATGGCAATGTTTGATGAGCATTTTTTAATAGTACAATCGAACGTTTAGCTACTTCTCTCGCTACAAGACGATTTTCATCTGTTAGTATTTCTGTTTGAGCTCGAGTATTGTCGCAATATCGATACGGATCATCAAATAAACCCAATTTATATTTGGCTTCTAATACTTTTCTGCATGCTGTATCAATTTGGCTTTGAGTGATGACACCTTGCTTTAACAATGTGTTTAAGGTGTCAAGAAATGCATTGCTAAACATATCCATGTCAACTCCTGCTTTTACTGCCAGAGCAGATACATGTTTCAAATGACCTATACCATGAACTATCATTTCGTTGATAGCATTATAATCAGTAACAAGAAGACCTGAAAACCGCCACTGATCACGTAATAAATCATCTAAAAGCCATTTGTTACCAGCTGCCGGTATTCCGTTTATTTCAGGAAACGCTGCCATTACACTTCCAACTCCCGCATCGATAGCTGCGTGATAGGGTCTAAAAAATACAATAATCATAGCTGTCGATGGACAATGTTTAATGATACATTAGTTGATAGAAACGAAGCTGGTATATTAGCTAATTTTTCATCTATCAAAGTATTTGAACAGAATTTAACTCTGATTTTATTGTCATAGATAATGAGTAGAGCTTATAGACCTACCAAGAAGAACGACAGTTTTAGCTTTTAAAAACTGATTTTTAAAGAGAAAAATTAAAAATGTTAAAAATGAATGAAACGGCGCAGAAAATAGTAAAAATTCTCGAAAATAAGTAAACTACTTTTCTTTATCTCTTACATAAAAAAACCCAAGATTAGTTTATTCTGATTCAGCATGCAAATCAGTACAAAAAACTATACAAACCTAAAAAGCAGACATTTTTAAACGTTAAAATGATCTCGAAATTCGACAAATACATAAGTAGAACATTTAAATGCTATGCATTTATAAAACCAAGATCTCCATAAGACTTTAAAAGCGTACTTTTCAGAAAAAACCATGCAAACCTGTTTTCTCCCAAAAAAAGTTTAAGAACTATCCACATCGATAGCATTATATATTTCATACAGAATGAAATGTTGCCGAGCACTTCGCTATGTTTCGTTATTGAAATATTTACTACTAAGCATCGTCGTTTGACTGAATAACTGCCACATAAGAAAAAAGCAATCGATTGTTGCCAACAAAACATGGTGAAAACGTTGGCAACAAATTTTGAGGTCATTTTAGCTTTCAAAAAAAGGTTTAAAACTTTAGGTTTTATAGTTTCGTGCACTGATTTGCACGCTGAATCAGAATAAACTAATCTTGGATTTTTAAAGTAAGAGATAAAGAAAAGTAGTTTACTTATTTTCGAGAATTTTTACTGTTTTCTGCGCCGTTTCATTCATTTTTAACATTTTCAATTTTTCTCTTTGAAAATCAGTTTTTAAAAGCTAAAACTGTCGTTCTTCTCGGTAGGTCCATGAACTCTACCCATTATCTATGACAATGAAACAGAGAGAATCAAATTTTGAGTGGATCTTATAATAAATGAATACATACGGTAAATAGTCCTGGTACATGCGTATACGACTCATATCAACTGTATTATATTCACGTCCACCTTCAACGGCACCATACAGTGCAAAATGTTTCACACAAGACATGATGGTGTTATTTTTTGCCAAATCATTTCCTTGATAACCTTTGACCATTACTTTGGCTATTTGTGATCCCAAAAAAGCATCTTCACCCGCACCTTCGGCAATTCTTCCCCATCTTGGATCACGAGCGATATCAACCATTGGTGAAAATGTCCAATGTAGACCATCTGCACTAGCTTCTTGAGCGGCAACTCGCGTGAATCGTTTAATCCATGTTAAGTCCCACGTACAACTAATACCTAGAGGTATTGGAAAAATGGTTCGATGACCATGAATGACATCGAAGCCAAACATGAGTGGAATGTGAAGACGAGTAGAATTAACAGCCAATTTTTGTAGTTTACATACGACATCAGGAGTGTACGAATTGAAAACACCGCCGACTGAACCATTTTTAATGGCTTTTATCTGACTTTTACTGGCAATGGGCCCTGTAATATTTAACGGTATCGATATCAAATTCAGCTGTCCAATTTTTTCTTCTAGTGTCATTTTTTCTATTAATTGATCGACCATCGCATTCATTGTTGTTATTTGATTACCAATATTTAGTCCGCTAATAATAACAATATGTACAAAGAATATTATTAACACTGAAGACTGCATTCTATTGCTTGATTACTAGTAAAAATAATGTTAGATAAATATACGATGATCTTCCAAAATATTCGAATATCGATAAGTGCTGCTAAATGTAATATACTGTATGTATCTATATACGTAGATATAGAGACAGATATATGTAGTGAACAATAGGTGTCATACGTATTCCTTTTCTTTATTCATGGTCACGGATGAATAGTCGTCTACAATGGTGCTATATTTGTTAGTTTTACACCAGACCAAGGTTCTTTATTGACTCATATATGTTTTCATTTTTTTCACAATACCGCCGATCTTGAAGGTCGAGATATCAGCGACATATACCATATACTTTTGCAAATATCGAAAAAAATCAAGTCAAGAAACGACTAAACCTTTGTCGTCCACTTTAGGTGCTATTATTGTGTTCGATCGACGACAAGCAAATATGTCTAGTTGACTATATAGGGTAAAGAAAAATATGAATATATTCAAGATGGACGTCTATCTTGTTCTACTACAAGATCTATTTGTTTGTTCGCCTTGGAAATTCATGTATTTTGAATAGAACTGCGACAAAAACCATTTCTTTTCTTTTCTATTTTGCTTTCTTATTCACGTTATATATAATGTGTGCTCACATTACAATGTGCGTTATATCTATATAACATATATACTAAGACTGTTGTGTGTGAGTTCAGGCTTTCTTCGTATCTGTTCCATATATATATGCTGTGATGTATACTCTTCGACTCATATGAAGGAAAAAGAACGAAGAAAGCGTGACATCACAGACAACAGTCTAAATATACATGTTATACAGTGGCAGCCAAAATTATTTGTATGATCAGTGTTTGCTCATACTTCTGCGCCCAAGGTGTTTTTTTTTAAATTGTGAAACTACCAGAAGATTGCCCGTTGGCTCCGCTCTCTATGGTAAAACTTGGCAATCAGTAGGCCTTTTGCATCTAGACTTATGGCTATAACACTAGAGAGGTCTATGTTTTCTTGGCCAAAATTATTTGTACGTTTGATAAAAAAAATTTTTACGCTGTATACGCACCGACAAAATATGAAAACTACATCAATAGATAGACGAGAGCGCGGGCCACATTTTGGTAAAAAGATAATTTTGAAAAGCTTTTTTCATAGGGTGAAAATGCGACTTTAAGCCAAGAGTGTCATACTCTTCATGTGACGGCTGAATCTCGAGAATGAGTGAGTGATGCGAAAAATCGCTAGTACGAATTTCATCATTTCTAACTGTTTCTGTACTAACGATATGTTTTGAAATACATTTCTGACAATAACTCAGTCAACCTTGAGACTCAAAATCAAGGTTTTCTAGAGAACTCTGTGAAGATTTACCATATCCACAAATTATAGAGTTATATTTTAGCTCTCTACGCTTAGCTGGGAGATTCTAGTCCCAGCAGACTTCGAAGATCGCTTGTTTTATGCAGAAATCCTAGGTTATAACCTTGATCTTCACAGAGTTCTCAAAATAACCTTGATTTTCATGAGTCTCAAGGTTGACTGAGTTATTGTCAGAAATGTATTTTAAAACATATCGTTAGTACAGAGACGGTTAGAAATGATGAAATTCGTACTTTCTGCGTTCAGAAATGAGATTTTTATACGAAATAACCGCTTTAAAAAAACTGTAGGATGATGCACGAGTAAAAAGTATAGAAAAAGTTTGCCGCTGAAGTGCCGGTTTTTTGCCTATTGTAGTCCTGACTTTTGTGAACAGATTTTGTTGCAAACAAAGGACAAGAAAGCAAAAATTCCGTGACACATGTTTTTTCTTTTTTGTTTTCTTCCCTGTATATAGACTACTAGAAATTAAGGACTATATAAGGTGCCGCTAAGGCAAAAACGGAGCAGATTCAAAAGTAGTCGAATCATACACCATTCGATAGCCCTGACAATTCTGACCTAGGGTCTTCATCATCAGATTTCAATTTGGATGAAATTTTCAGGTTGAAAACTTCAAAATACGAGAATCCCCGAAAAAGTGTGTTTTTGCACATGTTGAGAAAAACGAGAATATGGAATCGTCGTTTGTTCGAATTCAGTTTTAAATGTGATATTCGGATTCAGCAGCTCAAGCTGCATCGATTCATGTGTGATTCAAGTTTCTTTACACACTCAGTGAAAATCAGGAAAATCCGAGATTTGCCTAACGAACTTTTAGCACCTCATCTTGCAACTGTATCTCCTCCTACAGCTTTTATCCTAGAACTTTCTTTCACATCTCATTCGAATCGCCTTTCAAAGCTCTACAAAGTTACGTGCACACATTTTTTTTAAAAGTTTTTGTCAGAAAAAAGTCCAAAGATATTGTAAGTAGTGAAAAACCGTATTATCGATTTCTTCTTTTTTCATAAGATAAGACTACTGTCGTTATCCAAGTTAACTATAGGTTGAAAATGATGAAGAATTTAATGGACATTATTTAAAGCTATTCGGGAACATTTTTTTGCTTCAGTTGCAAAGGCTATTGATTTAGAAAACTGTTAATATCAAAAAGAGGTTTTATATTCGTTCGAAAGCTATTTATTATTCTCAAAAAGATACAAAAGAAGAAGAGAGACAGGAAATGGAATCGAAGAAGGAAACGAAAAGCTGTGTTTGAATATTGTCACTGTGATCGTG